GGAGCGACAAGCGAGGCAGGTGTACATACAGCCCAACAACAGAGGGTGAGACAAAGAAGATTGTCCCCTATTTGTGCTGCAACTGCCTCTCCAGTTGTTTTTTTTTTTGGGCAAACAGCAGCAGCAGCAGCAGCAGCAGCAGCCTCAACAGCAGCAGGAGCCGCAGCGGCAGCAGCGTCTTTCAGCAGCAGCCAGCCTACAGCAGCAGCAAGGGTGTCGGTGATTTCCCTCTTTTTATTGTATTATTTAATTTATTTATAAAATATAATAAACTCAGAATATGTCTCGTCATTCTGCCACTGCAGCAGAGAACCCTAAACTCCCACCTCTTAACCCCTCACCCCCCTTGCCGGTCCTCGTACACACATTACTACGTGCTGCATATGCAGGCCCCCAGCCCCTAAACCCGAAAACTAAATAAAACTAAATTCAGTATATAAAGCAATAGAACATAACCAGCAATTCCTGTCTAGACTTAACCTAGCTAGCGGGGTTTCTTGACCCCGGCTGTATATGTTAGAGGTTACTGTAGCAGTTTTTGTATGAGGTTGGCATAGAAACTTGTAAGTGCTTGCACACTGCCTACTACAGCTCGAGTAAAGGTTCAACAGTTCTCTATAGTGCTGGTGCATGCAGCCAGGAGAGCTGGGGTGTACCTTCAACTGGGTTGCCTCGCAGCACTAGACGGAGCGAAGCGTGCTGCAACTTCTGCCAGGCCGCCTCCACTCCCTCAGCCCCAGGCCCTTTGGCCGCCGGGTGCACGCCGCCGCCTGGGGGGGAGGTTAGCTGCTTAGTAAACTCTCATCGTAAGTAGTTTGAGCTCACAACTGTCCTGAAGTAATATCACAGGCTCTCGGAACAGATACCTGGTAGCACCGCAAGGCTCGTTGCAGCAGGTGACAGCGACGAACTCCCTTCGCGTAGCAGGGCGTCCTGGCACATACCAGAGAGTAGGAGCGGAGATTAAGAATCTATATATATAGGAGCCTTAAGCACTCTTGTAGAGTCTCTATCTCGGACTAATGCACCTTTCTCATCCTGCTAACGGGGATAGCTCAGGATATCTCATTCGGTGGTGAACTGATTGACTGCTGGGAAACATCACTTTGGGAAATGTGCTGTATCTGCATCCCGTCTGATCTAAAATGCTCTATCGCCAACAGCAATTCATGCAGGATGCCTTCGGTGTTGAAGGGCTCCACGATGTCGGGGCAGCGCAGGAGTTGTTTGGTTCCGTTGACTTGAACGTTTGGCTTGAAAATATACCCGAAGAGCTGCAGATGCTATTGGAGTTTTCCTTAGTAGAAGGGATACATCACGATGATGATTAGATTCAAGCAGAGGTACTACTTTTCCAGAACGCAATCGGATTATAGAGGCATTTTGGCATTCGCTGCGATGCAAGTTTATTGTTAGGTCGGCAATGGAACAGGCTATAACAAAGCTGACGAGGTTGGAGCAGGCACTTCTACTTGGGTGGAGATCGTCTGACAAAACTTAATCAAGAAGAGCTGTCGACGAAGCGCGACATCGAAAAGTAACGGTGAACAGATATCCAACGGTGGAGTCAGAGCTTCTATATAAGTGAGAAATAGGGGGGGTATGCGCCGTAGATAGGCTGCCGTTAACCGTCTGGGGAGGACAGAGGACGCTATGCGGAGAAAGGGGGCACGCCTCCAAGATAATGATGTACTTACAGTTCAAAAGGAGGGAAAGCACAACTTCCACCGTCCTCAGGGATGAGAAAAAAAAAGGCTATGAAAATGACCCAGTTATGGAGCATACGGATATTGGGGGTTTGAATGCAAAAACAACCTAAACAGGGCTAAGAAGCACTAACCGACAGAAAGTACCGAATTCGAGAGAAAGTACCGAATTTGGCCCCCAGAAAGCCGGGGAGCCTACTGACCAACATCGTTGTTCTTTTGCAGTCAGCAGGGCCATAATACGAGAATGTAAGAGCATCAAAACAACTGGGAAACTGCATATCAGGGCACTCACGAGACCCACCAAAGCAGTCTGGGCAGCGTCATGCTGCCAGGGAATATACGGCGCAGTTGTGATACCAACTGGTTATATCCACCCCTGCAGATCGTCCTCCACTCGACTCCGTGCTTGCCCAGGTTAGCATTAACGATCACTATACAGGCTGATGTCTGATGTCGTACGGGGAAGAACTGCAACATAGTTGAATATTGATTGGCAGAGTCGCTGTGACTGCGCTCTGCGGCAGACAGACCGGACAAAAGAATCGGCAAAATTATCGGCGTAGCCTACGATGTTAATTCCGAAGTGGGGCGCACTACTACAATATGGTGCTTCGACGTTGGAGAAGCTCGCCACAACTCAACCCTACGTGTGCAGTTTATGACTCACAGGACGAGAGACATGCGGCCCCCCGGGTGGCGCTGTTGAGGCCTAGGTGCCGGAAAGCAGTGATAGAGTGCATGTAGCAGAGGCGACAACATCATTTGCACCGTATTGGGTTAGAGAAACGGGAGCAATCTGCCAAAAAGAGAGCTAGAAGGCTTCTCCACACTGCAGAGGCCCTGTAAGAAACAATAGGGAACGTCGTGGTGGCCCTACGGAGAATGCGGTTTTCGGTTATTCGATCCATACAACACCCGAGGGACAGGAAGAGTCAACGCTATTGGAGGAACAGCTCTCATACGTATGAAACAGAAGGAGATACCTGCTGACCGTCCACCCTTTGGGCACTCAACTCACTGCAGGGACTCACTCGCGGAGCAACGCGAAGCTATGTTGAAGGATACAGAGGACTCTTGTGCATCAAAAAAGGAAATCAAGCGGTCAGCAGACGAACTGTTAGTAAAGAGCAAAGTTTAACCATCAACTGCTGCGCTTGGACAGAATCCGGTGCTGATGAAGGCAGCGGACGAGAGCTGTCGCAAACGCCTCCAGGTGAAGCCATTCAACAAAATTATGGTAACGCAAATATCGTTTGTGTCTCGGATCTACGAACTACTTGATGTAGCGAATATTCATTACAATCACGGCAACATTGCTGTTCTCGTTATGCAACAGTGAGGGTTGGTTGAACAATGGAAATTGATTCGGAGACAGATTGATATTTATTAAATAATTCTTAATGAGTATATTAGATGTGATTATGCGTGTAGAATAGGCCATATGTGCCCTATGTTTTCCTGCCTAGCATCTCCCTGGTGCTAATTCCTTTTCTGCCGTACTCTGCGTTCTTCCCTCTACCTACGGTTAGCACGACGGCGCCTCCCACTCAGCGTTTCAAGCTTAGGAGCTGGACCCCGCCCTTTTGAACTTGCTGGGGCTAACCCTTAATGATTCTCCTGGATTCTCGCGACCTCCAATAGATTGGAATTCTTAGGACAAGAGATCCCAAGCGCTAGCTTCCCTTACTATCTCCCTCCGTCCCAAGGCGCCACGAGCGTAGCGGCTTTAGTGCCTATCTTTCAAGCGAAGAGGAGGCTGCATGCCATAAACTGCAACGTACCTTGGCGCCGCTAGTGCAACAAGGCAACTGCGGACGCAGGCATAATGGAACTCCCTTTGTTGCATACGCTAACACTGTAAACAGCTGTTGAACGCGTAGCGCCCCCTAAATTCTCCGATTCTGCGCAAATATAAATACACGTACTAACTTAGGAGGGACCATGCTGCATGCCAATACGTCAAAGATGTCAAGCTTCTAATGCCGTTCAGGAAACCGCTGAAATCCCCTACACACTCAATATGACGCCAAATCAACTGACTGAGCAGCAGCTGGAAGTGATCAATAATCTGAGCGGGCAAATAACGAGGCGAGTAGGTTAAAGCAAACGAAAATTAGAGTCTTGAGTAAGTACTCCAAAATCCCTTTAGCGAAGCATTTCGCAAGGTGCATACAGCTGGCCTTCTTGATTCAATGGCTGCAGATACAACTCATTCTTGCGCTGTCAAGTGCATAGAGGGCCCCATATATTCATATTTACATGATTTCAGACTCTGATTATTTTCCACTTTCATCAGCTCCCCTTCCGATACTTGTGATTGGTAAGCGCTCTCGAGCACAATACTATCATTCACTTCATATTTCGGGGATGGGGCGGTGTATGGGATTGCCAGGAGTCCCTGCCTCGCGCACACTTTGAAACTGCTCGTCTTTGGCAGTTCATTATATATTTTTATTTATTTTTTGCAACGGTGCTGGCAACCAAAGTCATAGAGCTCTTTATTTGACAGTGTACAGAGCTGCCTGGGCTGCGGCAGCGATATGCCGGTCCGCAGCAGCAACAGCAAGAAGAAGCACCTTTGGAAGGTCCCAACGGGATAGTTCCCCTCGTCATCTTCCTTTTACAGTTACGTGCTCGATGTTCTGGGTCTTCTCATGAACTCCCTCACCTCCCTCGGAGCGTTCAACTCTAGCTGGGTTCCCTGGAGTTGGAGGGATCGCTCTGTTTGGTCTGATGTGAGTACATGTAGGTCTACTTGCGGACCGATGAGCTAGTGCGTGCCAGGCTTCTAACCATTGCCTGTGTCTGTTAATGCAACCATAAACAAGGTGGTTGGTTCTGCTATAGAACTATCTACTGAAGTGTCATATATGGATTCGTTCAATATGTGTAGACGTAATGAGAGTCCTCCTGCTGCTGCAGCGCATACTGTAGCATGTTCTGCCTGCAGTTAGCACAGGCGCCTTTATTTTATCCTGGTAGTTTGGGTGTAAGCAAATACAAACTTCCTGTAAGCTTACTCAGAGGTAAAGCATGCAATACAGCAAGATTCAGCGAAGGTTCCTTGTGTGTACGCGTGAAGCTGCCCTGTATCACCAGCTGCAGTGACGTGCGCTGCAACCCCATTTCAGGCTGCCTTTCCCCCAACACACCTAGGCCCTGTTCAGGACGCCTGAGGCCAGGGGAAGCTAGTCAGCT